TAAATTGGTCAACTAGAGACGGTACGAAAGATGCGAGATCACTTACTTTTCCCTTTGTCGCGCGCAGTTCGGGACGACTTCGACCGGCCTCGCATCGAGGCCCCATCGAAGTAGCAGCCTTGTACGTCGTGAGTGCACTTCTCGCACTTATCCGGCTGCTTGCGCGACGGGACGCAAGTCGAGACCGAGTGGTTCAACTTGCAGCGGTCGCACTATGAACAAAATCCCAGAACAGGTTTAGTTGCGAACAAGAAACCGATGCAGGAACACTTACCCATTGGCCTTTCCGTCGAGCCTGCTTCACGTGCTTCTTGATATCTTCGGATGAGATGCCCGACCAGTTGCGTTGTCGCACAACTCGCCACAATTCAGCGGCCTTGCCATTGCCATCGAGCGCTTCAACTTCCTCGGTGACGAACAATTCGGCGTTGTCGGCCCCTTCGTCCCCTTCCGACTCTTCTTCGATCTCGTCAGCGTTGTCGTCGTCCTCAGGCTCCTCATCTCCGGTATCACGCGACACGTCGCCATTGTCGCCCGGAATGACCTCATCAACGACCATTGGGTCGTCGTCCACGGGTCCGCTCCTGGTCGTTTCGGCATTGTGGCTGACCCTCGCGTGTTCCTTGGCCACCAGTCAGAGGCGCTCCTCCTCTTTGGCAGCAAGGCGGAGGCGTTTGGCTTCTTCTGCCACAAGGTGGGCGATCTCGGCCTCTTCGGCGGCAACGTGAGCCTCGAGTTCGTGGCGATCTCGGGCGTTCTTTGCCCACGTCCACTCTGGAATGATAGTACCGAAGCGGATCAGCAGGTCAGGGTATGTGGCTTCGACTTTGGCAATCGCGGTCTGGATCGCCTCGGCCATGTCTTTGGGGAGCACGCCCCCCTTGGTGCGGACCAAGGTCTTGATGAGAGAAGGAAGTTAGATGGTAATGTTTGACCTTCGAACGTGTATGGTACTCACCAGGTGCTCGGAGACATCGTCGATTCAGTCCTTCGCCTTGTCCTTTGTAGATTCGGGCTCGGGCGCGGACTGGATGTCGATGGTGAGGAGTCGGAGGGCGTGTTCGACCGTCTTGTTGGTGACGATCGAGGGAGTGGAGAGACGGGAAGCGGCGGTGGAAGCAGACGACATTGCGAAGGGGTTTTGGAATGAGCCGCACGGGGTGTTTGACGAGGTGTGGGGTGAAGCTGATGAAAGCGACAAGGATCGAGGACAGGCAACGGACTCCTTTTATCGGGACGATCGCGGTGTGCGCCAAAGCATTGCGCCATCGGCCTCATATTGTTCCTGCAGGCACCTCATTGTTGAGTGCTCGCCGCGTGACCGCTTGCTAATCGCTGACTATTGTTCGGCGCTCTTTGAAGTCGTAATCGGTGCGTTATTGTCTCGGTCGTGCTACTGACTTTGCGCACCTCAAGGCGCGCTTTGCAGACTTCTTTCGGCTGGAGCGGCAATACACGAGGATGGAAGTAGAGCGGCGATGAACCAGGGGCGGTCCAAATTTCAATGGGGAGGAGATGATAGGCCCGCGTAGCGCATGGGCGCGCCACGAGTCGTACACAACATTCGAAGCATTCGAAGCTTACATCTTCGGGAACAACTGTGATACCTCGACACAAGAACGCCCTCGAGCAAGGCCCACCCTTCGACATCTTCAAAACCTCGCGATCTCACAACAATCCATCGGGATCTTTCGGTGGCGACTTTATTCCGGGGGCTCGACTTCGAAGATGAAACACCATCATCCGGAGACTGGGACCTACGATACAGGGCCGACGGGTAAACCTTTAAGTCGACGCACTTGGGCCGCGATGCCAAGACTTGCAACGGTCGGGCCTCCGAGACTAGCAGGAATAGCGTGGTGGATGGGAATCAGAAACTGATA